CTAGGTCTGACCTTTCTACTCCCTTGTCTCCGTGCCTTGTGGGAGAAGAATCCCCCGTATGTGAAAGAGCCCTATTATGGACATGCAAAGGATGAACTTTGCGGTCGGGCTCTCTTCCGAGTTCAAATTCTGGCCACGTGACCTTGGGAAGTGACTTACCCTCTGCATGCCTCCGTTTCTTTAGATGCAAAGTGGGGAACTAAGAGTTTGTTTTGAGCATTATGTAAAATCTTACTTAGGAAGCATTCAGAAAAATGCCCAGCCTGTGGGAAACGTCAGCTGCTTCAAGGACACAGACTAGGTTTTTGAGCGCCATTGTCCCGTTTTTAAGATGGCGACATGGCTGGGCATGCTGCTCCAGGAGGAACTCTGCCCGGCCCCTTCCTTTGCCATCACACTAAGAACACCATGAACGTCTGTCTGTCTGTCTCCACCCACCCACAGGCGATCGGGCTAGTTTCGCAAGCACAAAATACACCAAAGCCAACATGGACTGGCCAAGGACTATTGAAGGACTGGCCTTCTGTAGGGTGAAGGGTTGTGGCCATTTCTGCCTGAGCCTCCTGCTCCCCGTTATAAGTTTTGTTTCCCAAAGAACATTTCAGCCAAGACGAGACCTTTCTGGTTCTGCCCTTCTTTCCTGCCCAGATGCCCCAGGATGGGCTGTAACACTTCAGGAAAGAAGAGGATCCCCTCTTTGTTTTTCTTTTCCTTAAGCCTAGAGTCCTCCACGGATGCTTTCCCCACCTCTGAAACCCACAGTGGCCCATCTCACCAGATTCCCAAAAGACTCAGGAAGCTAGGAAAAAGGGGGGGACACTCTTCCTTGTTCATTCCCCTTGTACCAGAGAACCCCCCGCCCCCCGATCTTTGGTGTTTTGTTAAGAAGGGAAGACAGTCTCGTGGCAGATCCTGTAAACCCAGGTGGCATGACCCAGATGGGGGTCTTCCCAGTGTCTCCATCTCCCGCTAGCCTGATTCACGGGCACCATATGCTTCTGTCCCCCTCCTGTCAGCCTGTTTTAGGCTTAGGTTCATGGTCTATTTCTTTCTCCATGAGGATTATAAAAAACAAAACAAAACTGTACTTGGCACCTATAAGGACAGAGCATTATCATCATCAAGCCTGCCGCTTGTTGGCTTCTTAGCAGGTGCTTAGTAATTTGTACACACTGTTCTTGTTCTTTACAACCCTAAGGAGGAGGGGTCACTGTTACTCCCATTTTACAGCAAACCATCAGAGGAAACTAGATGTTCAGTAACTCATCCCTATCACACAGTAATGAGAAAATCTGGGATTCAAACCCCAAATCCCTCCTTCCAGAGGGCAGTGCTACTTCCCTGAAGCATTGGAGTGAGCAGGACAGGGAATGGGGTCACCCCATTGCCCAGCTGCCACTCCCGCTCCTCACAATCCAGCTACCCAGCCTCTCTCTTCCCTCCATGAACGTGCCGCATGATTCTCTTTGTTCTCCAACTTGTCAACCCTGTAAAATGCCATTGGCATAGCCAGATGGACTCCTTATAGGGCACACCCTGTGTTTCCTACCCCTCACCCATCACCGTGGCCCCTGGAGTGGCCACTTGGGCTTCCTCCCCCAGGTTAAGGGTCCAGGAGTGTGCTAAATGTATCTTACCGCTCAGTCACTGGTAAATTACCTTCACAGCAATGCTGGAAATGGGATGGGAGGTATTAGCCTCATTCTGTAGATGAAGAGTGACTTAACTGGGTCCAGAGGCTTGGATGGCTCCAGAACCTATTCCCCGATACCGTCTGTTAGAAAAGGTACAGAGTGTGTCCTATGATAAGTTCCATACAAATATAAGGTCCCGGTAGACTAGGAGGAGTTCAACAGGGCAGATTGTGCATCAGTAGGAATTGTCATTGGGTCCCCTCTCCATGCATCCCAATGATGAGCGGCTGAGAACTCTGAATTCCCTGCCCCCTTGGCTCTTTACCCTAAAAGACAGGAGTGGGAGACAGGCATCCCAGGGCCAAATGCAGGCACTCCTTTCCTGCCTCCTTACTCCCACCTCCCACAGGACCCAGAAAAAGCCAGCAGCGAGGCTTGCCCTGAGGTCCCCTCCAGGATTCTGGAACATACTCCTGCCTCCTGCTTATTAATTTCCAAACCCTTTGCTTCTTAGAGCTTCTTCCCGGCCTTTGGCTTCTTGCTCTGCCGTGGATTCATCTCTGAACGGGTCTGAAAACCAGTTCCTCTAAGTTTTCTCCAGGAAGCACTGGGCCACAGGAAATCTTGGACATCCAGACTGGCCTGAGATATCTGGGCAGTGACTCCTAATGGAGTCAACAGTGTTTGATTAATTATACTTCCATTTCACTCTCTTGGTAAACACAATCAGTTTCTTGACTCTGATAACTGTTGCTTCTGTCTGTGATAAAACAACAGAAACTTCTGTAACCTTTGGGTTGTATTCCTCCATCTTTGAATAGCTCCCCCTCTGTGGCAGTGCACCAAGCAGTTTTACCATTTTTGTCTTCGGGTTGGGTTTTATGTAGACATTCAAAGGTTTAAATATTCCATTTATTTATACCAATTTTTTTTTCCCTGAAAGCAAATATGCGTTGAGTCCCCCCAAGAGCACTGCCTTTGTGGTTGATTTGTAAAGATTTGTACTGCTTTTCGGAAAGACTGGCGAACGTTTGATGCACGTGCACTAGGAATGTGAGGTGCTGCCTCCCCTCAGAAAGGAGTTTCAGCGGGGAAAGTGGGGATTGCATGCAGCACAGCGGTGTCTTTGTAAAAGCAGAAGTGTGTGCTCAGCTCTTAGTTCTTGGTTGCTGATTTTTGCCACGGGTACTTCCCGGGTCTCGCTCAGTCTGTCCCCCATGGCCTAGCTGGCCCCTTTGCTTGGTAAACCGGATCACCAGGGCGCCTGGTGTCTGAGCTTGCTGATGCTTGAAGATGCCATTGGAAGTAGAAGGCATCCCCCAGGAGCCCTGATCTGGAGCCCATGCCTGCCTGGTGCTTCCCCACCCCCACCCCCAAATGGAAAGAGCATAGGGTGAGGAAAATGGGGTAAGACCGACACCCCCTAGGGCTCCTTCTATTGATCACCATCGCTGACATCTTGCATGCATGTCATCCTCTCCTCGCTCACCATTGCAGCTAAGTGCTTCCACTTCCCTCCCCCAAGTGGAATATGAAGCTTGTTGGCGCTTTTCATCCTGATAAATTTGGAAGCCCATAGTTTGATAGTCCCTTGCAGTCCCCTTTAAATGTCAGGGGATGCAACTGGACCTTTTCCCCGAGTTTTGCCTGGCCCCCAAGAGTGATTCTGGAGCTCCTGCTTATTTATTGGCGGAGGGTCTGCAGACCCAAGGACTTGAGAACTAGTGGGTCCTGGAAAGAGACCCAGCCCCCGGAACCCCCGCCCCCGACTCCCCAGGTGCCTCCTCAGAGCCATACAAGGGAGGTGAGAAATAGTTAACAATGACAGGACATGAAAAGTGTCAGGAGGCTGTCATTTACTGCCATCTCACTGTGGGCTGTACCCCATGGCTCGCTTCCTTAAAGGACCCAAATCCTACCCGCTACAGCTAATCTCCAAACTTGCACCTTTTTTGTTGGTTTGTTGAATCTCACTGCTGGTCTCTAAGGTAAATGCCCTGCTGGGTGGGCAGAATTCATAGTATATGGGCTCTTGCCTCTGACCGGTGTGGGTCAGAGTAAGCACCTGATCACCCCCTACCCACACCCCACTGTGCCTGTCTACCCGCGGCAGACACAGATGCTGGAAGGTTTCCTCCCTGCTCGAATGTCTGTGTCTCCCTTAGTACTGGAAATGTCAGGTCTCGGCTTCGTCAGTGAAGGTCTTGACTTCATACCACAGTACCAGTTAGCTCCTAGACCAGAGGAAAGAAAGAACAGGCTTCCAAATCATGTAACTTGGAAGCCAGCAGATGGCTAGTTCTGACTTTTATTCCCCCCTTAGGACACCCTCTCCCCCACGCCGCACCCCTACCCTACCCCTACACACACCAGTATCCGCTCTCCAGCTTCTCTCTTTATATTCATTTTGGAATAAAGGATAGGAACTTCACCCCTTCAAACAGAAGAGCCCCTATAACTAGAGAGGCCAACTAAATCGAATCAAATTCATGGCACAGCAAAAGCCTCACGCTCACACCCTGACCTTGATGAGACAACCTATGTGTCCAAAGGAAGGCACAGTTTTTTTGACACTAATATCTGTATGTTTCTGTCCTTGCAGCCTTAGGAAAATCCAAAGGTACGGTACGAGGCCATGTTCAATCTCTGAAAACAAAGCAAGCCATGCCTTTAGTGAGCTCTGCGAGAGAGTGGATGTGCCGCGTTTGGTTGCTTGGCCGACTTAACGGGAGCTGGGTCTCCGTGGTTAAAACTGAATCGCAGCTCGGAGTGACCATAGGCATGGTCAGCCCCTTACCTGCCGACTAGACCCGCGGGTGTGGCCTGCAGAGATTGTAGCTCGGCCAGGGTCCCCGGGCTAGTGCAGGAGTCCTGAGTCGGGCCTGTGCCCTAGACCCCAAGTGACAAAAAAGAAGGACGGATATTTAGATTTAGAGGTCTCCCGCTGGTCAGTGCCACGTTCTAGTGCGATGCTGCCCCGCTGCCGCCCCCTTCCCCCATCCTGCCCACCTCCATCTCCCACTTGGGGGTTGGGAGTGAGTGCCCCCAGAGAGGCTGCATTCTGCTCTGGGGGGCGAGCTTGGATTCCACACGCAGGTCCTGAGGCCAGCTGGCTTTGGCAGAGGGAGGAAGCGGAGCCGCCCGGCGCGCCTGGGGGCCGCTGCTGTGCGGCCGGCCCGGAGCAGCCTCGGGCGGGCGCGCGGGGCACAGCGCCCCGGCCCGGCCTCGCTTCCCCGGGCCCAGGAGGGTGCTAAGGCTGCGCTGTTGTTCTCCTGGCGGACGTGCTTGAATGTGTCCGCTGTGCGGGGGAGGGCGCGTGCTCCTGGTCACGCGTGGGTAAGCGGGTGTCTTTGTGTCCCTCGCCAGCATGGGCGTGAGGGTCATGGACACGTCCTGGGTGGCTCGAAGAGGCTCCTCGGCCGGCAGGAAGGCGTCCTGCGCCCCGCCCACCATGCAGCCCCCCGCGCCGCCCGCCGAGCTTGCCGCGCCTCTGCCGTCGCCCCTCCCGGAGCAGCCCCTGGACGGCCCCGCGGCGCCCTCGCTGTCGCCGTCGGGCTTGGGCCTCCAGCCCGGGGCCGAGCGCACCAGGTAAGTAAGCGGGGCCAGGCCGGCCGTGGCGCGCGCGCGCTTGCACGCGGGACGGGGGCGGGTGGGCTGCCCTCCAGGATGCTGTCACCTCCCCGTTCCCGAGCCTTTGCGTTTGGCGTTCTGCATCCTGCTGGCACGCAGCGAGTGATTCCCAGCACCCCCCCCCCCCGCCGCCAACTCCCCCCCGGATTGTCGGATGGAGCCCCCGGGCTTCCTGAGAATAGCATCCCCCCAGCAAGCGCGTAAGGTGGCAGCTCGCTAAGGCCGGGAGAGCAGGAAGTTGCCAGCTCTCGTCTCCCCTTCTCCTTCTGCCGGAATGACTTCCCGGTTTTGAAATGCGGGGTTGCGGTATTCCTCCCTTTCTCTCCTCTCTGCCTTTAGATTCGGAGGAGCCGTTTTCCCGGCTTACGCGGGCGCAAATCAGGGAAGGAGTGGCGGTCATGTGGTCACTCGGGGTCTGAGGCCCGGTGCAGTGTGATGCTGGGTTGTGTTTCCATTTGTTCCCGGGAAGAAGAAAGCGAGCGAGCTCATGGCACCCCTAGTTCGGTGAATGTTTGTGGGGGACGGAGTGCATCCAGAGATAAAACGTGGGGTCTGTGCCCTTAAGGCAGCCCCATCCCGTCCCAGCACGCAAATACCAGACACGGAATCAGGGCACATGGCCGTGCGGGGGGGTCCCAGCGGAGAGGGGCCTCGTCTGGCCCTTCCTCGGAAGGGGCATCCTGGAAGGGGGAATGGCGCAAGTTCTGAGAAGTGGGAAAACTACTTCAAATCAGAGGCTGCTGTGCATTCTGTTAGCGGGGGCAGCATTCCCTTATGTCCTGCTGAAAAAAATCTTGGAGGCTTTGGGAAGCTGAACCTTTTCATCCAATCTTTTTTTTTTTTTTTTTTTAAGATTATTTATTTGAGAGAGCAGGAGAGGGAGAGAGTCTTCAGCAGACTCCGTGCTGAGCATGGAGCCCCATGCAGGGCTCCATCTCATGACCCTGAGATCAGGACCTGAGCCCAAACCAAGAGTCGGACCCTTGATGGCACCCCTTCACCCGATCTTTATCATACACACACACTCACACGCAAATAACCACCTCCCTAAATGAAGGGACTGCAGGGTTGGGTTTTTTTTTTTTTTTCCCTCTCCCCTTTTAGTGAGTAGAAGGCATTTTCCCCGTGAAATAGGGAAATGACAAAAGGAAAACGGGAACAGTCAGCGTCCAGGAGTGGGGAGCTGACAATGGATGTGCTCCAGTTGTTGATGGCTCCAGCTCAGGGCACGAGGACGCCGGCCTGGCTGTGCACTCGCTTGCTAGGCTTCAGGTCCCCTTGGGAGAGGCGGGTGTGGGAGAGCAAGTTCTGCAGAGATGCAGAGAAGGATCACTGTGGACCAGAGAGGCTGATGTGGAAGAAATGAGCGAATAGACAGGAGATCTCCCAACGGTTCCCTTTTTGCGCTCTTCTTGGCTTCATCCCGATTTCCCATCTTAAAACCGACACCCCGTGCTAAACGCTATTTGCCCTATTAAAAATATTTGTAGAAAATGCCCCTCAAAGATGGATTTCCCCGGCCTCTGAAGGTGTTCCCAGAATGTCATAGATGGGTGGCCCCAAGACTCACTCATGAGCCAGGAGCATCACCTGTGGGTTTGGAGTATTTAAGACGCCATTGCCATTGCTCATACCGTCCCTTTTTCTTGGGGGTGCCCAGCTCCAAGGCTCTCCCTTGGGTGCCCATGTTTTTCTATCATTCTTTTGCTCTGCCCACATGGACTCTTCCCAATACAAACGGGTGTTCCATTGGTTTTTTTTGTTTGTTTTTTGTTTTCTGGACATTTGCAGCCCAGGTGATGTTTTCTCCAGTTGCCAGATTCCTGTCCGCCCCCACCCCACCCCCCGGATGTCGGGCCCTCCCCTCCCTCTGGCTTGCTCCAGCCTCCCCATTCTCTACCCAGGCCCACCCCACCCAGACCTGGCGGCTCTCTCCAGCCAGGCTCAGCCTCTGCTTCCTGCTCCTCTGCTTGGCATTAACTCTGCCCCCGAACACTGCTTCCTGCCCCTTCGCACCCCAGCTCACTGCGTCACGTGTCCTGCCGTTGGCCCTGACCGCCCCCCCCCCAAGCCTGGGGGGCTGGGACTTGAACTCGCCATATTTGGGAGCACAGCGGGGTTGGGGGCTGTGTTCACCCTCCCACCTGCTGGGACTGGTACCAGGCTGGGCCCCAGAAGCCTCCCCCTGCTCGGGGCTGTGCTGTGGAGGTCAGGGGAATCAGCCGTGGCCACAACATAGAGTGGGGATGCTCGTGGGCTCCTGGCAGAGGCGTGGAGAGGGCGCTTGCACCTGGGGTGTGGAGGTCGGAGAAGAACGCAGGTCCCCAGAGCCCAAGAAGGGACAGTCATCTCTCCCGGAGCATCTCCGAAGGGCATGGGGCAGACCAAGAGCTGGCCCAGCGGAGCACGTGGGATTGCGACCCGCAGGCTGGTGCTGCGCTGGCCTCGCTGAGTTCAGGGTGCTAACTCGTCTCGTGTGCTTGTGTTCCAGCACTTTGAAAAGCAAGGAGCTTTCTCCGGGATCTGGGCAGAAAGGAAGTGCAGGTTCCAGCCAGGGGACGCCCGGTGCAGGGACGCAGCCGGGGGCACAAGCAGGCGCCAGCCCCAGCCAGCCACCCCCCGACCAGAGCCCGCACACTCTCCGGAAAGGTACGGCACCGCAGCCCTCCACTCGGGTCTCCGGCCGGGGACAGCTCTCACACTGCCCGGACACTCGTGCCCCTCGCTTAGCGTGGATGTTGAGAGACCGCGTGACTTCGTGAAAACCCCCTGGGCTGGGTGTTAAGAGCTTTGGGCAGTTAACCAACTCCAAGAGGGACCACTTCATCTTCGTTCCTTGTGTCTCTCACTTGAGCAGCGGGCTCAGTGGGGGGGGGGGGGGGTTATGCAGGGCATTGCGTCCCGTACACTGAGACCTCTGTGCAGACCTCATTATCCACGACGACACGTGTCTTCCACGGACCCTGCTGGGCCCTACCACCACCTCTTAAGATGCTGTGTGGAGTCTTGTGCTGGGGTCCGGCGTGGCTGCCTCCCCCTGGGATTGTTTCTAGAAGGGGACACGGAGCAGGGAATTGGGATTGTGGCTATGGGAGTGCTGGCCTTCGATGCTTCTGGAAGGCTGAGAGTCTGTACACTGACCCAGGAGCTGCCCGACCCAGGATCTGCCACGGAACCCGCGCTCAGAGGCCCACTTACTCTCTCTGAAATGACCTTCCCAAAGCTAAGGACATGCTCTGCAGTGACATTTCGTAAACGGAGAGGTGCACAGACGGTGTACTTTAAAACTTTTTTTTTTAATGTTTTATTTATTCATGAGAGTCAGAGAGAGAGAGAGGCAGAGGGAGAAGCAGGCTCCCCGCCGAGCAGGGAGCCCGATGCGGGACTCGATCCCAGGACCCTGGGATCATGACCTGAGCCGAAGGCAGACACTTAACCATCTGAGCCACCCAGGCGCCCCTTTGCGTTCTCTCTTAAGCCAAGCCTCAAACTTAAAAGAACAGCTACTTGACTATGTTCTCGGTTCTGGCCTTTCTGGCTTCCCCCGAAAGTCAGAGCGGCAGAGGGGAGGCGTGGAGCACGGTTCCAGGGCACCACGGGGAGATGGGGGGACTCCCTTCCGGACACAGGAGTTGGGGCACTGCTGTGGCAGTGGGACTTGAGCATCCCGGCGCCCCCGTCCGGCACCAGCGGGTCGCCCTTGTGGTCCGGACAAACTTTTCTGGCCATCTTTGTGTGCAGAGCCTTTAAGCCTCCCTCCAGCCCTGGGAGGCAGGGTGACGCCTAAGCCACGGTGTCCAATGGGGTCGGGCCTCCTGGTCCGGGCTGGTGAGCCTGCCGCCGCCGGTGACACATGGGGAGTGCGGCCTGGAAATCCTCCGGTCCCACCCCCAGGGGGCACTCGGCCGCTCAGCGTCCTCCTTTGGGAGGTCCACCTTTCTCCTCCACCCACCACCAGCTCCCGCTTAGCTTTTTTGTGTTTTTAAGCTCGCTAGGTCTTTTCACACTGCATCTCCAGTTTTATGTCCTGGGCTAGTCCTGTCGCCACCAAGGAGGGGCAAATGCCCTCTCGAACGTGGTGCCGTCCCCTGGTCCTCCCCTCCTCCGGCCCGTGCAGGGGAAGACGTGTTGGAACATCGGTGCCTAGGGGCCCCGCCGGCTGCCCACCCATTAAGCGATCGTGGCATCAGCCACCTGGCCGTCGGGAGCTGCTGGAGCAGCTGCTCGGAGAGGCCACCCAGTCCTGGGTTCGATGGCTGAGAAGTGCTTGTAGGACGGGTCACGATTCTGTGATGCTTTTGCACGCACGAGGCTGCGTAACTGCTACAACCCTGGGGAGTCCACTGTCCTTGCTCTTGGGGAGCAGAGGTTTAGATCCACTGTCAGGGCACAGGGTGGTTAAGGCGAGGGAGGGAGCTGAAGCCACGTTGGAGAGCCTGTGTCCTTGTCCATATACTGCACGCTGACGGAGCCCGGGGAGCGCGCGCCATCGTTGGAATAGATTTTGTTCCGTGGGGGGTGGAGGGGGAGCGGAGCTGGGAGAGAAGAGTGCCCGAGGCCTCCTTGAGCACCTAAAAGACGGTTCCTTCTGGACTTAGCGCCGTGCCCAGCAGCCCTCGCTTAATCCTGACACGTGAGTGATCGCTTTCTCAGAACGTTTGCCCCTCGACAGGATTGTCCCGGTGTCCGATTTGGTCATTCTTACGGGTTCAGTGTCAGTGAAATGTGTCAAGTGACCGTCATTGTGTTGCACGATCGAGTCAATAAAAGGGGATGAAGGCAGCGTGAGGAGGGGGGGCCCGCAGTACATACGTCCGTCCGCCGAGTCTACGTCCAGAGGGCACGAGTCTGGAAAGGAAAACACGGGGGAGGCGGGTACACAGGACGGGGCGGGACGGAGGAGTCAGTGGAGGACTTGGCCGTCTGTGGCTCTCTCGGGACCCAGGAGCCGGCGTGGGCAGGGGCAGCCGAAAGCCAGAGTTTCCTGTCCCGCCACGCTCCCCCCACCCGAGCCCACCCCGCTCCAGTCATCCCTCTAGGGCCCTGTGTCACCGACTCCCCCTTCCTCCGTGTAACCCCAACACCTTCTACCACCGCGAAGTGAAGAGAGGACACTGGGTGGCCGGCCACGGCCCGTGCACGGGAAATTTGTCCTTCGCTCCGGCCAGGGCTGTGTAGGTCGTGGCAGCAATCCAGGGAAGGGGAGATTAGGGAACAGAGGGGGAGACATGAAAACTTGCAGTTTGAGGTGAATTTTTAGAAACTGCATTGGCTGTCGTGGGAGCCGGGTCGAGGGGGCTGTGGAGGGGGTGGGGTGGAGGGAGGGGGCCTTGGGAACAGCCGGCTTCATTTCACGACCTTGTGTGTGCCTGTGTTTTCTCTTTCAGTTTCCAAGAAGTTGGCTCCGATTCCACCCAAGGTCCCCTTTGGCCAGCCGGGGACTATGACCGACCAGTCTGCCGGCCAGCCGTCCCCGCTCAGCCTGTCCCCCACCCCACCGAGCACCCCATCGCCCTACGGACTGAGTTACCCGCAGGGGTACTCCTTGGCCTCCGGTCAGCTCTCCCCGGCGACGGCCGCGGCCCCTCCCCTGGCCTCCCCTGCCGGCTTCCCGAGCACTGCAGCCAAATCTCGGCCCACCCCCAAGCCCCGACAGAGACCCACCCTGCCGCCCCCTCAGCCTCCCACAGTCAGCCTGCCAGCCCCGAGTCCACAGTCCACGGAGCACCCCGTGCTGGACGGCATGGCCCCCGGGGAGAGCATGTCGACAGGTAACCAAGCCATGGCGTCGCCATGGTTTTCCACGAACCTCAGCTGGGTGTGCCCAGTAGCGGGATCCCTGGTGCCACTGCCCGTGAGCACGTCTGTCTGCCCCGGGGTGGTGCCATGCGTGGCTTCTACGATCATCTTGGGAACCGCCCCCCCCCCCCATGAGGCCGGTGGACATCAGCCCCGGGATCCAGATTGTCCTGCAAAAGGGCTTTTTACGGGATTTCTCCCAGTGGATGCCCGCCAGTGCAGGGTCCTGATTCTGTTCTTAATCGGGGGGTTGAGCACCGAGAACTTTGAGGTGGTGCTCGGTGCTTCGGGAGAGGCTGGGGAGGCGGGGGCCGGGCTATGATCGCAGACTGGCTGGCATCTAAAGCACAGGTGAGGCATTTGCAGCTCTCCTTGGATAGAGTCCAGGCATCTATAAAGGTACAGACCCTTATCTTGAGACCAGAGGCTAAGAGCCAAAGACATTGTTTCCTACTGATGTAATAAGCCTTATTAGAAACCTGCATTTCCAGCAGTATTTAGAGAAGGGTCAGTTTCAGGAAAGATGCCGGTCCCCCTGATTCTTGGAGGAGCTTACTGACAAGCCCACAGCTACTAAATTTATCTTGCTTTAAGTTTAAAAGTCAAGATGGAGCTATTCTCCACCACCGCCGCCGCCCCAGAAAAATGTAAAAGTGTGAAATTACAAACACACCACATTGGGCAAAAACCGTTCGTTGGTTGAAGAGGACGTTTTTGCAACGTCTCCCCAGATACTCTGGCCACGTGACAGTAGAGACTTGGGGCGTGTTTGTGGCTCTAGCCAGGCTAGCGTTTCCCTCGCTCAGGGAGGCAGACAAAACGCTGGACTGTGTCTTGGCATAGATGCAGGCCACGTGTCACCAGGCGGCAGAGCCCGGGCACATCTGTTCAGGGTTGCCCCAAGTAGCAGCTGAGGCACACACGCCCCAGATATATGCACGCAGCAGGCAGATGCCGCACACACACACGACAAATACCAGATTC